GGGAGAGGACAGATCCCTCTCGGAGACGACGTCGCCAAGGCGTTCGTCACGGCCATCCCTTTGATGATGGTGTTCTCCTACCAGAAACGGGGCCTCAAGGGCTACGGATGCTCGGGACGGGGGCCCCAACACCTGAGAAGGACGGTGACTCGGAACTGGTCTCGAGCACTGTGATAGCACTGCGAGGGTGCTGGGGGCAGTAAGGACTGCCCCCGGGACGTGCTTTAATAAAGCAAAGCGAGAGGTGGGCCCCCGTTTGCGCTCCGAACGGAGATCCCGCGGTGTATACGAGGGGTATACGCTAATGGTGACCACCGTGGGGTTTTGGCCGGTAGGAGTCCGGTATAACCTTTCTGTTGCCCCCGCAGCAGAAAGTATCCATAAGGATTTCACGGACAGGAGGATTTCACCACGATAAAAAAGAGTAAGTTTCAGCTAACAACCTACCACAACACAAAATGCGTGTGCTTTTTGGTGCAGCCTGTCCCAAAACCAGATAAAATAGGAGGGTTGGCCAGAAGAGAGAAATGCAGCCATAAAAGGAGTTAACGCCGAATCTTGGGCGGAGGTTAATTAACCCAACCCCAAGACTCACTCAAAATTCTTCTAGTGATCTTAGAGCGACAATTCAGTTGCCGTGAGGGACTAAATCCTGTGGACTAACACACCTAGCTGCGCTAGAACTTGCGCAGTCGAACGCCGTACGCGGGGATGAAGGAGTCCTGGAGGGTTGAGCCAATCGTCACAGGGGTATTTAGTGACGAGAGGCAACACGCTCTCTTTGGTCCTGATTTCAAGCTATACGGTGGCACTATCTGCTAGACACAGATAGGAAAATAGCTACGCGGTCTGTCAGAGAATCGCGGGCGAGGGACGTGAGGGTTGCCTGGTTTCCTGAAAAGGACTAGGTGCCACCATCTAGATATACCTAACGGCCTTACTGACGGAGTAAACGACAGTTATTTAGGCATTGGAGATGGGCCTTTTCAGCCCTATCTGCTAGTTGGATCGAGCTCACAATGTCGCGCTGTGAGCCAACTTCGCGTCCTTATATTCCCCCATGTAATTCTAACGGCCTGAAATTTGTTTTATTTTAAAAATGTGGGCTCCATGGAGGGTGAGAAGCCAGAGCTACGAATCTAAAAACTAACATTAACAGAAGCACCAACAAACAAGGAGGAACTGCCAGTAAAACAGCGGTTCCGCGGACCACGTCATTCTGCGTAGGCGGCTATACCATGGGAAATTCCGCGCTGGAGGCTCCCAAGACCAGTTCCAAATATGAGGAGATAGACGCGGGAGAGGTGCAAGGGACCACGAGTAACTTCTGCGAAGCCCCTAAAAACGGATGAACTTTTCTCAGCGGAAAAAAGTTTGTAAAGGGAAGGGCAAAGCACCAACCAAAAAAGGTGAATAGCCGACCCGACGGATCATGAAGTGGGAATATCCCGCCAGGAAGCAGAAAAAAGGTAAAAAATAAAATTAGGAAGCAGTGAGAGAAAGCCCATAAGGAAAGAGGGGAGCTGGCTGCTTCCAAAAGTAATACCAAGGAGGCTGGGTAAGCTGCTGTTCCTGTGGTGCTAGGGGCTGGACCCAGTAGCCGTACTAAAACTGGGAAGGATAATAATCCAGCCCAAGTGGAAGGCGCGGCTGCATGGACCAGTTCCAAGTAATTCCTGGTAATAAAGAAAGAGCAACCAAAGGAATACTAGACGAGACCACCACGCCGAGAGGCGAGTATAAAAGATTGCGACTCGAAAAGCAACCTAAGGCTTCGAAGACTAGCTGCTATTAAAGCTGAATTGTGTGTGGCCTTAACGTCTGCACGTACAGGTCACATTACAAAGGAACTAGCTGACGACATCCTCGTGGGTATCCAGAGGAAGATTATCAGCGAGGCTTGGAGTAGCCAAGACCCTGATGCGTCGGGTCGGGCCCAGTTTTCAGTGGCAAGCCCGTGTACACCGAAGGTGTTCTGAAGCTGTGATACGACGATCAGAAGGCATTGAATTGGTTGAAGGGGAATATCGCCACCCTCGACCTTAAATCCAAAGACTTATGTGTAATATACTTATCCCAGATGCCCAGGGGGCCTGAAACGATTCACGCACGCTGGGTAATAATAAAGTATTGACTGTTGCTCAAGGCCGACAAGTAAACGGATGGGTGGTTCCTCGTTGTTTCGGCGCCGGAGGTTCATATCCCAACCTTGACGAAAGCCGGATGTCGAAGCATGTGTATGTGGAGCGGTCTACGTAAAATTCCAGGGTCGTGGAGGTAAATTTTACGATAATCCACCGAGCAAAAAGGCGGACAACAAGCTGGAAGTCATTGATACTGGTGCAATGGATATCGGGGCAGCGGAATCATTGGATCCCAAGTTCAGTGACAAAACGACCTGCACAACTGAGCCGAGGCCACCAGTAGAGATTGAGATCAGCAGCAGTTCACTGAGTGACCAGATGGCAAGCTTATTTTTGGGTGGAGACGGTGAGGACGCGATCAATGATGGCGTGCCCTTCGTCCAGAACTAGCCTTGTGCAGGCCAACCACCACATCAAAACTGCGTCGGCTCAATTACGCAAGTGGTTGGAGGCTCAACGGACAGCCAAAGCCCTAATCCAGGAGCCATGGGTTGGTGTTGTAAAATCAAAGGCCTAAACAACCGAAAAGATAAGCTATTCTACAACTCCGAGCACGACAAGCCTAGAGAGTTTATTTACACTACTAAAGATATCTCTGCACAAATTTTAATATATTTCTGTCCCAGAGACATGTATGCCGTACTAATACAAAATACGCAGAAGGGAAGAATAGTCGTCGCCTCGGTCTTACATGCTGGAGGAAAACACACCTCCCCATCATGACCTCATAAGCCTAGTGATTTTCTGCAAAAGGACTGGACTAGAGGTACTGATTGGGACAGACTCCAACGCGCATCATCCCCTCTGGGGAATGGAAAACCCCAACAAACTAGGTAAGGTGTTAACTAAATATCTTTTTAGCAATTACCTAACCATTTTAAATACAGGTTCCGAACCAACCTTCATAAACAAGCGTTGTCGAACAATAATCGACCTTACACTTGCAACAGAAGTAGCAGGTAAAATTATCACGGAGTAGCATGTGTTGAGAGAGGCTTCATGCTCAGACCATAGATGGATGTGTTTCGTACAACAGGTCAATATCCTCACTACAGCACCATAGAGAAGTCCATGGAAAACTGATAAAATAAACTACCTTAATAGGCTAACGTCTTCGCTTGTGGGTTTTGAGGAGACAAACACTATAGTAGATCAGTCACTCCTAGAAGGACAGGTAGCAGCTGTTACTAAAGCCATGACGGATAGCTACCATGAAGCATGTCCAGAAATCACTCCCCCAAGACATGATCAGGAAAAGCAACCGTGGTGGGGTAAAGAACTAGATAGAAAACGTAAGATGGTAAAAAAGCCCTAAATAGGGCCATGAATACCTCAATGGATGAAGACTAGCTACTATACAAGAAAGCTAAATCTGACTACAAAAAATGTATCAGGTATCAACGCTTGAGAGGGTGGTGTAAATTCTGTGGTAACATAGAAACCTGTGAACAAGCAAATCGGATAAGGAAAATCTTAGCTAAACAGAACACGCCGGGATCAATCTCGTTAAAGAAACCTGACAGAAGCTACACTGACACCAACAGCAGAATACTGGAATTTAGCACAGAGTGGTAATGATGGATAAAATCCGTAGGGCCATTAACAGTTTCCTCCCCTATAAGGCGACAGGACCAGGCGGCATATTCCCGTAACTCCTACAGTGGGGGGTAAAGCCCTAATAGTCAGACTTGTTACCATAATAAGAGCATGTCTCGCTTTTAAATATGTTCCTAGGGGATGGAGGGAAGAGAAAGTTACATTCATACCCAAACCAAGTAAGAGTGACTATACAGACCCGATATCCTATAGACCCCTCAGCCTCATATCCTTTCTCCTAAATAGATGGAGAGGATATGTGAAAGAGAATTAAGGGGGTCGGCGCTAATGAACTTACTGCTACACGACAAGCAACACGCCTACAGCTTAGGTAAATCGACAGAATGCGCACTTCACCAGGTAATAACAAAGATTGAAGAGGCCATCCAAAACAAAGTAATATATCTAGGTTTCTTCATAGACATAGAAGGTGCTTTTGACAGAAAGAACTTCTAAAGCATAAATGTTGCACTAAGTAGACATAAAGTTGAAATGAAATGAAATGAAGATTTATTTGCTTTGAAAAAGGGGTACATTTAGGTGGTTATTATATAGTGTAGATCAGCTTTTTCAGCCATCTATAATAGCATGCAAATATATTTTTTATAGTTAAATTTATCATATTAAATTAAATTAAATTTACAATATAAAATTCAATTAAAATATTTATCGTCATGTCAATGTTTACAAATGAGCAATACCAATACATACAAAATTTAAATATAATTAAGATTAAAATTTAATTAAAAATATATAACTACTGTTGTGTCACATCATGTCAAATTTAGATAGTCATTCACATTATAAAAACAATGCTCATTTAGCCACCTGTAAAAAGCGCCTTTAAATCTACTAAGGGGTAAGTCTTTTATATTTTGGGGTATTTTATTAAATATCAGAATACACATCCAGTAGCAGTTATTTTTAAATCGAGCACTCTTGGGTATAATTTCAGCAACAAGTCTATTGCCATTTCTGGTATTTCGTGTGTAAATCTCTTTCGCTTGTCTGAAATAATACATGTTTTGTTTTACAAACTTTGCAATTTCAAAGATGTACAGGCATGGGAGGGGTAGTATTTTCAGAGATATAAATAACGGCCTGCAAGGCTCATCGGGTGCAGTGCCACATATTGCTCTAATACATTTTTTTTGGGCAATGAATGCCTTTTTTACATCTGTGCTATTACCCCATATAATGAGTCCGTATCGCAAAACGGATTCCACATAGGCAAAGTACGCAGTAAGTGCTGTATTTTTTGTGGCTACTTTGCGTAGTTTGTAAAGTGCGTACGAAAATCTATTTATTTTTTTACAAACATTTTCAACTTGACTTTTCCAATTAAGTTTTTGATCTACCCATATACCTAGGAATTTTGTCATATTTGTACTTTTTAGGTTTTGTCCTTCAAAGTTAATGTTTATTGTCTGATATAATATGTCATTGAAATTTATAAAATAAGTTTTGTCAAGATTTATAATTAGATTATTATTTTTAAGCCATTCTATTATTGTTTTTACTGTGCTATTAATGTCATTAATATGGTCTTTTAGAGATTGTTTACGATCTGTTTTAACTATTACAGATATGTCATCAGCGAATAAAATGCATTTGTGTTTAGTTACATCCGGAAGATTATTTATATAGACCAAGAACAACAGTGGTCCCAAAACGCTGCCCTGTGGAACTCCATATTTGTTTTCTTTAAAATCTGATATGTAATTTAGGACCACATGATTGCAGTCTGGTCTGCTTATTTCAACAGATTGTCGTCTATTTGCAAGTAGGTTTTAATCCAATTTAAAGCAGTGCCTCTAATGCCACATTTTTCCAATTTTTCTAATAATAAACTATGTGATACAAAATCGAAGGCCTTCGACATGTCAAAGAAAAGAGCAGTTGTATAATTATTATCATTTAGACATGTTAGAGTCTCCTTTACCATATCGAAAACCGCATGTGCAGTAGATTTACCCCTCTGGAACCCATACTGACTGTGATTCAGGACATGATACTTGTCAAAGAAAGATGTGAGTTTAGTATGCATAATTTTTTCATATACTTTTGACAAAATCGGTACGAGCGCAATAGGACGGTAATTGTCCAAAATTGATTTTTTGTCCTTTTTGAACAATGGCTTAATCAAAGAGAATTTAAGTTTATCGGGGAAGATACCAGAGACCATTGATAAGTTTATTAAAAATGCCAAGACCCTGCCTATTTCTTTATTGCAGGCCTTAATTACTTTGGTACAAATGCCGTCAAACCCTTCTGATTTACTATTATTCAAGGTCATAATTACTTTATTTATATCATATTCGTCAGTAGGGCTTAGATAAATAGAATTATTTAGGATTTGATTGGATTTATTATTTGATATATTATCTTGGATATCTTTGTTTGTCAATTCAATGAAGAAATTATTAAAAGTATTTGCGATTTGTGTAGGAAAAGTAATAACTTCGTTGTCGTATTCAATAAAATCAATGTGATTATTATATTGCGGCTTGGTATCTATTTCATCCTGTATGACCTTCCAAGTAGCTTTGCAGGTATTTTTGCTGTTTAACACATATTTTTTATTAGTTGTTTTTTTAGAACATAGTATGCATTTTTTAAGTAGTTTTGAGTAGGTTTTATATTTGTGTTTGTTTTGAGGAGTTTTTCTTCGATAGTAAATTTTTCTTAGGACTCTATTTTTCGCGCAGCTATTCCTAATTCCCTTAGATATCCAATTTAAATGGGATTTTGTAGACAGTTTAACTTTTTTATAAGGGAAGCAGAGTTTATAAAGAAGGCATAGCCAATCATGAAATTTATTAAACGCAGCGTTAGGTTCTGTTTCGCTGTAAACATCAGAAAAGGAAAGGCTCACCATATATCTTTTAAAATTCTCTATATTTTCAGATGAATAGTCCCTCCTATAGGTGTATAAGATTTTTGGGGGAGTAACCTTTGATTTAATATTAAATCCAAGAATTTGCGCAGTATCATGGTCCGATAAACAGAGAGGGAGGGTAAGTCCAGTTGCATCTTTAACATTACTGAATATATGATCAATACATGATAGGTCTCTAGTGGGTTCCGTAATATGCTGAGTGAGATGATAATTTTGGAGAATATCTAGTAAGTTGTTGGTTACATGATGAATGAACCAGCATTGATTAACTGGATAGTAAACATGCTCAGCATAAGAACAATAAACATTGCTGATGCATCTCACAATCAACAATCCAGATCAAGAAAGGCTGCACGCAAGATGGGGTTCTTCCACCTCTCCTGTGGAATATGGTCATAAATGAATTCATTTAATCACAAACATCATCAAACATTGCAAATTAAATGCCAATAATTTCTACACAGTAGGATATGCAGATGACCTGACAATACTGGTCTCCAGAATGACAGCAAGCATGGTGTGCAACCTGACCCAAGCGGCTCTCCATATAGTGGAGAGATGTTGCAGGGACTATGATGTAACAGTTAACCCAAATAAAACGGTTCCAGTAATGTTCACACAAAACTAATGTTAAATAACTATCACCTCCCAAGTCTTTTTAGCACAGAACTCCAGCTATCCTCTGAGGTAGAATATTTAGGTCTTATCTTGCACAATAAATTAAACTGGAATACAAAATCACATAGAAAACAAAATCACAAGGCTAGTATAACTTTCTGGCAATGCAAAAACATGATTGGTAATTGATGGAATCTGACACCAAAAATTATATTGTGGCTATACAAAAGTAATATGGTTATAAAAACTAATCAGCAAATTACATGCCAGTCACTTCTACACAATAGGTTATACTTATAGTATTTACACTTCTGCTTCTGCATCTCTTTCCCTTTCTGTTTCTGGTAAAATTTACTTTTGACTTCTGTTTCCACCATTCATTTCTGCTTCTGTTATGACACTTCCATCGCATTACTATTATAAATTACCTTATAGCAAAATTTCTAAGAAAGTATATAACACTTAATTGTAATTTTAATAGTTGCCAAGATATTATCAAATAAAGAAAATACTAGAAATAAGGATCAACAATGCATCAGATTCAGTTTCAACAATTCATCAGCTTTTACTAATTTCTCCAATAACTACATCATCAATAACCCTAGCTAAAGGCAATGAAAACCCTATTTTATTTTTTTAGAGATTGCACATGAAATGAAATGTGACAATACATTATATTATAAAACTTCTCAAGCAGTTTATTATGATATTTTTAAGATTAAGATTAGTGAATGATTTTATGCATAATCAGTAAGTGTGTTTATGTTTATAGACAAAATCTGCAATGATCAAAAATATGTCATTGAGATAATATAGACAATCTTCTAAGAATATAGTTTTAAAATATACAGAAAGCTTGAAACTACCAATATAAAAGTTCCTGAAACAACTAACAGCACTTCGTTCAAACTGAGGTGAATTCCGCACGGGACATTTGTGTCTTGTATGGAGATGTTACATTGGCGTGAATAGTCACACGTGCTGCAGCAGAATATGTGTGGTATAGTGAAAGATTTTTCAAAATTCCGTTGAACCTTAAAGTATTTTTACAAAAAGTAAAAGCAAACAAGATTCTATATGACCTCAGCCACAAAGAACATAAAAATAAAAGGAAAACATATATTTTGTTCGATTCTTGATAAAAGTTTGTTGTAGCATTCTTCATGCATATGAAAATACGTATAAAATCTATTTTATCTTTTCGTAATGCGGGTATCAAAGTGTGAAGCTCTCCAAATTCTATGCTTTGAGTACTCAGTTCATGAAACCTTTTCTTCTTTTCTTCCTCACATCTCGTACATCACATTGTTGTACGTGGTAAAGCCATGCTGCAGCTATATTTTTGGTATAGTTATAGCATGAATGGGTCGGCCCAACCGGAAGGACTACGCTCACTCAGAATACCAGTGTAATATAGCAGTTTAACACTCCTATATTTTGTATGGTGAGTGTAGAGAACCGGAGACCCTTTTTACTGGAAATTAAGCATTCCATCTTAGTCCTCAAGGGTGACAACGCATCTGCATTTTGATTCTTAATTGAGAATAGATGTAGATTCTGTGGGCCACAGCAACCACTTACCATCAAGTGGACTGTGTGCTCGTTTGTCACCCTTATCCTATAAAAAAATGCATCTTAAGTTTCTTCTTTAGTTAATGCTAATAATAACAAAGCCTCAGCTTCAATATCAAAAGACATGTTTTCCTATTGAGAAATCAAAGATAATAACGTGCGGGATTCGCCTCAGTTCAAACGAAGTCTTAAACAACGACCTTACTACTAGTACTTACAAATCTAACTTACGGAACTTCTGTCGCCTGATTTGCTAATATTTCCTGTAAAAGAATAACCAATCGTTTAAATTGCCCCAAATGTCAAAATATTATGAGAACTTTCAAATACTTTAAAATCGAAGATAAAGCAGCTAAGCAACAAGGAAAATCCTTTCTTTTTTCATTCTGCGAGACAAAACATTATGACGGGCATATTGTGTTAAAATATGCGTCATCAAACCTTAAATAATAATAGAATCGAGCACTAAAAATGTATAGCAGAATTTAAGAAGAACATTTCATTATTTGTTCATAGAACGATTTAATTAAAACATATGGTTTAATAAATAGCAATTTGCGATTACTTACAATCATATTTACATCATTGTTACTGTCACGAACTATGACCTTGTCCATAACATAGATAAATAAATATGTAGCAAGCTAGTCCATAAAGATGCACTAAAACCGACACAACACTAGTTCTAAAGAAATGGTCACTTAAATTAAAAATTTGAACACATCCACCTCAAATCCAAAAGCAGCAGTATTATCTCATCTCACCTCATCTAACCGATATCATCTGCCATCTGCACTATTTTTTTTTAATAACTTGCTTTACGGCTCTGGGATCTAGCCCTTCTGAGCCTAAAGTAACAATATATTATAATTATCCATCATAGTATAATGCTTGACAATATGTTGATGCGTTTCATTGTGCAGCTCTTGAGAGATTTTGACGGCAACTTGAGCCAGCAGACAGCTGACGGTTGGCGATGGTATCTCAAGGTGCCTAAGCAGACAGACACCTTATTTTGAGAATCACATCACCATCAGACACTTGTTTCACAGTTTCTGCTAATAGTTCACATGCGCAGACACTTAATACACAAAATCGCACCACATTTACATATCAAAGTCCACTTTAAACCATTATTTAAATAGCAGTAATACAGGAGCAACAAACCGCCGCCGGTCAAATTCCCGCCAAAACTTCATCTGCGCTAGTATACCATATATCACAGACTAATATGATGCCATATATATACTTCACATTAGTTTGCAGATCTCATATCACAGAGTATCTTTTATCTTTTTATAACCAAGGATCTCACATCACATCACAGAATCCGTAGAGAGAGGAAGATACTATGTCTATGACCACAGAACACTTGACAGAATCACAGAATCACAAATTGTTTTTTTTTATAACTGGCTTTACGGCTCTGGGTTCTAGCCCTTCTGAGCCTAAAGTTACAATGCTTAATAATTCACATGTGCAGACATTTAATACACAAAATCGCACCACTTTACGTATCAAAATTCATTTCAAAACATTATTTAAACAATAATATAGGAGCAGCAAACCACCGCCGGTCAAATTCCCGCCAAAACTGCCATAGCTCACAAATTGGGATTGGGTATAACAAAAGAGTATAGTAAGTAATGTGTAACTCACATATTAATTTTTCTATGGTGTAACTGTCCTATTAGCGCAGCCAACTCTACGGATTTTTCCGTAGATCTACGGAATTTTATTATCGTCTGCGGAACTCCGGAATTTGAGTTGAAATCTACGAAATATGATTTCCATCTTAAATATTTTTTTGTATTTCTCAATCCTTTCAGAATAATTAGATTTTTAAATGTGTGTGAACTTAGTCGACAACCGAAAATCGAAAATTTTAATAATCTTTAAAATGTAATTTATCAAATAAACAGAAACCAGAAACAAATTATCTAATAATTGTAGTGAAGAGTTAGTCGGTTGTTTTTCATTCGTCTAATTATTGCTTCAAAATTTTACAGCATCAAGTTTGTAACGTAGTTTTTTTAGTATAACTATCCACAAATATTTAAGTGTTAATTATTTTATTTGTTTTTTACAAACAATAATTAAATTAAAAGAGAACAATTATTTTTAAACAATTTTTCATGGTTTTTCTTATAATTGCAGCTTGATTCGATGTTATACTACAATTGAACTTACAACAAGAATTTACATGACAGAAAGAATTATTATGAGATTGAGAGGTTCTATGGGCAGTTGTACACGTCATCGTTGGAGCCACACGCAAGTGTGAGTAACGATCCAAAAGCGAGTCTCATCCGACACTATTCCGAAGATATCCCGGACGTCAGTCTGAGCGAGATTAGAATGGCTCTCCAGCACCTTAAAAACGGTAAGGCCCCAGGCGAGGATGGAATTACAGCGGAGCTTCTGAAAGCGGGTGGAAGACCGGTACTTGAAGTCCTTCAGAAGCTCTTTAATTCCGTCCTACATGGTGGCATTACACCGGAGGCGTGGAGCAGAAGTGCGGTGGTCTTGTTCTTCAAGAAAGGTGACAACGCTCTCTTGAAGAACTACAGACCGATTACCCTTCTGAGCCGCGTCTACGTGCTGTTTTCGAGAGTCATTACGAATCGTCTCGCGCGCAGACTTGACGACTTCCAGCCTCCCGAACAAGCCGGTTTCCGAAAGGGCTTTAGTACCATAGACCACATACATACCCTTCGGCAAGTTGTACAGAAGTCCGAAGAGTACAATTTGCCACTATGTCTGGCGTATGTAGACTATGAGAAAGCCTTTGATTCCGTCGAAATTTGGGCGGTGCTGCAGTCCCTTCAGCGGTGCCAAATTGACTGTCGGTATATCGAAGTGTTGAAGTGCTTGTACAGTAGGGCTACGATGGCTATCCGAGTACAGAACCAGAGTACGAAACCTATCCAATTGCAGAGAGGTGTAAGACAGGGTGACGTCATATCCCCGAAACTCTTCACCGCTGCATTGGAAGACGTTTTCAAGCTTCTGGACTGGAAAGGATACGGTATCAACATCAATGGCGAGTACATCACTCACCTTCGATTTGCCGACGATATAGTCCTTATGGCAGAATCGCTGGAGGACCTAAGCACTATGCTCAATGACCTCAACAGTGTTTCCCAACGGAAAGGTCTTAAGATGAACATGGACAAAACAAAGATCATGTTTAATGTCCATGTCACACCTATGCCGGTAGTTGTTGGGAGCACTAAGCTCGAAGTTGTTGACGAGTATGTTTACCTGGGACAAACAGTCCGACGAGGTAAGTTCAACTTCGACCGAGAGGTCAATCGACGGATTCAACTCGGCTGGGCAGCGTTCGGGAAGCTACGACACATCTTCTCGTCAGACATACCTCAAATCCTGAAAACAAAATTGTACAACCAGTGCGTGTTGCCAGTGATGACTTACGGAACAGAGACGTGGTCCTTCACTGCTGGCCATATGAGGAAGCTCAAGGTCGGTCAGCGAGCTATGGAGAGGGCTATGCTCGGAGTTTCTCTGCGTGATAAACTTAGGAATGAGGATATTCGCAGTAGAACCAGAGTAACCGACATAGCCCAACGTATTAGTAAGCTGAAGTGTCAGTGGGCCGGCCATATAGCTCGAAGAACCGACAACCGATGGGAAAGAAAGGTTCTCGAGTGGTAGCCTCGTACCAGTAGGCGAAGTGTAGGGCGTCCCCCCACGAGATGGAGTGACGACCTGGTAAGACATGCAGGAAGTCGATGGATGCAGGTGGCTCAGGACCGTGCTTTGTGGCATTCTTTGGGGGAGGCCTATGTTCAGCAGTGGACTTGTGAAGGGCTGTAATGAAATGAATGAATGTCGCAGTGGCTTAGTAATGAGTTACAGCGCTGGGGGCCGCGGGTTCAAATCCCACACGGTACAAATATTTTTATGGCCTACAAATAACTGTTGCGGGTCTGGATGTTCGTCCTTTGCCTTGTGGCTGTGAAGATAATGTACTGAACACACACAAAAAGTGAAAGAAACAAAAACCTGTGACAGGTATCGATAATTTTGACGCTGATGCTATTAGATCCCATGTTTACGACTACTATACAAGATAAGAAGTAAGTAAATTAAGTAATGTAAAAGTAAAGTAATGTAAGTAAATTACTTGTGTCCCTTAAATCTGCAAACTTATATGATGGCAGTGCAACATCTGTTAAAACAATTCTAAAATATGTTGTGTTTTCATACAAAAAAAAAAACGACAAACGGAAAATATTGATGGAAAGGTATGACATAATACTACAAAGAGTATTCTACTTAAGAGAAGTTAATAAAGTAACCAACTGGGAATAGGTAGGTTAGGTAGAGACATGGTTAAATGTTAATCATACTGTGCCACAGTCTTGAACGGATGATACGAATCTTTACTACGGGATGGTCTTATAATGTGGGGCAACAGCACTGATCAAAATAAAGCATTTGTCGCGCAAAAAAATGCATTAGAGTGATATGTGGTCTAAAACCGAATGACTCGTGTCAACCAGTGTTTAAAAAAACTTGGCTTATTACCACTACTATCACTTTACATCTATGAGGTATGATGATGATGTAAATCCCCGTAGTCGTCGAGATCCATATAGACTTGTACTAAACGATAATCCTAGAATGAGAAAATATAATAAAAGTCGTTTATTTATGTATGTTCACTTATATAATAAGATACCTAATTACTTAAAAATGTTAAATACAAGATCATTTAAATTAAAACTATATCAATGGCTAAATGATTGTAATTTCTATAGTGTTAAGGAGATTTGTAGCCAAAAATATTAATGTAAAAAAAATTTGCATGCTATGAATAACCTTAGCAAAACATTTTGATCTAAAACGTTCTGTAAAATCTATTATATATCATGTTTTATGCAAATACAATACTAAGCATCCAGCTCAAAAGTTCCAATGGGAAAGGGTGGACGACTCATTATTTGTCATGCTGGATCTGCCGGGGAAGGTTTTATAAAAAATTGTTTGTTGGCATTTGAATCAAAAAGTACAAAAGTACATAGCTTGCCACGAAGAAATGAATGCCGAAAAATTTAAAGAGTGGTTTGCGACCCTTATGCAAAACTTTCAAGAAGAGTGTACGATAATTATGGACAATGCTCCATATCACTCTATGCAACTAGATAAACCTCCCACACAAGCTAACAAAAAGGCGTATCTAGTGGCATGGCTACAAAATTATGGTATGGATGCTGACATGAATTTATTAAAAGCAGAACTGTTAAAATTAGTCAAACAAACTAAACCTGTAAAGCCAAAATACGCCATCGATGACTTGGCAAAGGGACATGGGCATAAAACTATAAGGACCCCACCAAACCACTGTCAATACAATGCTATAGAGATGATTTGGGCTCAAGTTAAAGGTTAGTATTAATCTAAAACGAACGATTGTGTACGTATTTATTGACATATAATCTAGGAACCACTAGGAACATTATAATATGTATTAGTAGACATTTTTCGTCTAATATAGCGGCTGACTGCTGTCGTATTTTCATAGTTAATTAAATGGCATATTTATTAGAACCCATCTAGCCGTTTGGCTGCACAAGGGAATAACGTCAAAATACAAAACCTCCGTTCACCTAAAAAATGCTTGGATTAATGTAGTAGAAAGGACAATTTAAACTTAGTTTGGATTTATGTAATAACTGTTAAATATTGCAACTCGTAAATGTATTAAAACCATATGCCTTGAGAATCAATTTTAAACGATGTAGATAAAGTGTCCATTACAAACACTAAATAATCGATATGTCTCGATAATCGGTTTTTAAAGCAACCAGTTTTTTTCACATCATTACACAAAGTATTTTTATAGCTGTCAAATTGGGCTTCTTAAGCTAGGGTCCCACGGCCTGTTTTGTCACAGGTCAGACCGCGCCAGGCCGGACAACAGGCCGTGGGAACCATCGCATCCGATGAGGCCTGTGGTGGCCTGTTGGCGCCCGTCCGATCCATCGGGAGTCGGTAAGATCAAAGGCGCGGCGCGGCGCGGCGCGACGGCGCCTGTCGCGGCCTGTACGGGCGCGTCTGCGTCGGTTGCAATTGTTCATTTCAACTGCGGTGGCGCTTGCGTGTACATGCTCATGATGGAATGGACGAACGAGCTTATATTCGAGTTTTTAACTCTTTATGAAAATGAACCAGCGCTTTGGAATAGTACGTCGCCTCAACATAAAAACAAGAACGGCTTTTGTTGAATGATGACACCCACCAGCGTCGTTTTTTCTGCTTTCTTTTTGCTTGGTTTATCAAACGTTCACCACTGAATAAAACCACCGCGGCCGCACACGCAGCCATGCGCTCCGTATCACTTCACATGTTGGAATGTCAGTCGACAGGCCGCACCAGGCCGGCACACGCCGTGGGAACGCTCAGTACGGGCCGCCACAGGCCCATACAGGCGGGGCAACGCCTGGCGCGGCCTGTCGCCTGGCAGGCCGTGGGACCCTAGCTTAAGATTGTCACGAGTATAATAAGAAGTGCTAGCGCAGTATATGGGTACAATGTACCATAAAAAATATCGATATATCAATATTATTAATCGCGATATATCAATGTTCGATATTTTTTTAGAGAATCGAACCCGCAACAATTTTAATCAAATCGTATACACATGTATACTTACGTAACATTATCTGCCAGTTTGGCTTGCGTATGTGGACTACGAGAGAGCCTTTGATCCAATCGAAATTTGGGCGGTGCTACGGGCTCTTCAGCGGTGCTAATTTGACTGTTGGTATATCGAAGTGATGAAGTGTTTGTACAGTAGGGCTACGATGACTATCCCAGTGAAGAACCAGAGTATTTAACCTATACAACTGCAGAGAGGTGTAAGACAGGGACAGGGCGACGTTAAATCCCCGAAACTCTTAATTGAAAGACATTTACAAGCTACTGGACTGGAAAGAATACGGTATTAACATCGATGGCGTGTACAGAATTCTTTATCTATTTGCCGACGATATAGCCCTTATGGCAGAATCGCTGGAGGACCTAAGATTTAATCGTATGAATAAAAAATACTTATGACTGTTACTCGCTGTTACTAATAAATAATGCGTCTTATACACGTTCCATCTTGACGAACGTCCGCTGGAGGTCATGCACGGCGCACGACGCAAAAAGACAATGAATAGGCTTGATGTACGTCAATAATTATTATTAATTGCTTGTTGGACGCGCTGGATGCATTTTATATCCAGCAAGCCTGCCCACTACTTTTCATGTCGTGCTGATGGATAATGAATACATACAACCAAAGAGAATATAACCACTACGTTTACATACAACTTTATAATTTGTGAATGAATAGGCCGGGTGTACGTCAAATCTGTCGTGCGTCAAGCATGCTAGATCTTGTCATCGTGTGGATACTGGCTGTACAGCAGATTTGTAATTTTATATAGTAACAATGCATGCGTTCACTCTGTTGTCAAACAATTTAGTTAGGCCAGCAACTACAAAGTCTTTCAAACGATCAGAAAATCTTTGCTGAATAATTGATGTCAGACGTTTTGTATCTGGCTAGAACTAGTCAACTAAATGAAATTATTCATCCTGTCACATAGAGACCGACCGCGAAATACCCCAGCCCCTGGCAGTCGTGGTACAGTACTGGTACCAGGGCGAACACAATGACGAACGTGGATGCCACGTGGTCTGCGGGCGCGGGCTCTTTATACCTTGTCAATACAACTGGCCACCATATTTATCTACTTTTATTTTTCTCACTACCTCTGACAATCTAAAAGTATATATAATCTAATACACTAGGCATTTTATACGTATCAATATGGAAAATTGTTACAATACAATACAATATTCTTTATAGTACATGAAAAAAAGATGAAAATAAACAAATATTGGAAAAAACAAAAGGCAGTCTTATTGCTATTTAGCAATCTCTTCCAGACAACACAGAAAAAGAATTAAATAAACCAATAAGAAAAAGAATAACAGGCAAGGTGCACTAAAAAAAGTTAGGTATCAATTTATGCACTAAAAAGACAATATTTATCTACAGAAACCTACAGAATTCGTGATAACCTCCTCTGTAGTGGTCGGAACTTTGTCCCTATAGATGTCTTCAGCTCTGCAGTTCTTTAAACTCCATCTCTACCTTTTATCTCCAGAACAATGTCTAAAGGCCATATAATTATTTTTTCATCCGACTATCAAATACTAATAGTCCAGGAGGAATCGGTGCTTGAGTACTGAAAACTATTCCAATGTCCCGTTTGAAAATAACAATTCCTTGCAATTGAAAAAATAAATCGGTTTAAACAATATGACACCGAGTTTCCCCATGGCAACAAACATCATCAGTAGGGAAATTTGAAGAGAATCACGTAAAAAAATTGAGTTGGAATAGTTTTCAGTACTCAAGCGCCGATTCCTCCTGGACTATTAGTATTTGATAGTCGGATGAAAAAATAATTATATGGCCTTTAGACATTGTTCTGGAGATAAAAGGTAGAGATGGAGTTTAAAGAACTGCAGAGCTGAAGACATCTATAGGGACAAAGTTCCGACCACTACAGAGGAGGTTATCACGAATTCTGTAGGTTTCTGTAGATAAATATTGTCTTTTTAGTGCATAAATTGATACCTAACTTTTTTTTAGTGCACCTTGCCTGTTATTCTTTTTCTTAATGGTTTATTTAATTCTTTTTCTGTGTTGTCTGGAAGAGATTGCTAAATAGCAATAAGACCGCCTTTGGTTTTTCCCAATATTTGTTTATTTTCATCTTTTCTTCATTTACTATAAAGAATATTGTATTGTATTGTAACAATTTTCCATATTGATACGTATAAAATGTGTGGGGAGTTTCTGTATGACCGTAGCTCCTCACATTGAAATAAGAAGATTTCTTAGACTTGAAACATTTAATCTTCTAACAAAAATATACTTATTACGAAAAACTAGTCTTACATTTTTCTTGTTATTTTTCGTAACCATGACAACAACTTACAAGATATAAAAAACATAAAAAGGCCGTAGACAATATTTATTTATCCTCAACACACTCCAGACCTGAAAGAAAATGGTAACCAATTAACGCAACTCAACATACTAAGGAAAACCATAAAACCAAATGTAATTCATAAGTACCGAGCAGGCAATTTCACATTTCGACCGCACCGCTTTGTTTTCGTCACCTTCGCGCCACCTGTAACCGAGGAGGGTAAGTCGGGACTATCTGAACTTACTGATAACTTCTCATCCTCTATCGTTACTTCAGCTCGTTGCAAGAGGTCAGAATCATTTGAAATCTCAAGCGGATACAATCTCTGACATGGTCTTAAAGTTTCACCTTTTTGAGTCTTGACTCTAGCCAAACGAGTAACACCATCAGCCCCGGTAACTACTTCCATGATTAACCCCAAGGGCCAAAATAGCCTTTTCGCGTCTGTCTCTACTAGAACTATATCTCATTTCTTCATTTCTATTGTCTTCTCCTTCCATCTAGCTGTAAGTAAAGCCAAATACTCCTTACGAAATCGAACTCTGAAATCTTCTCTCAACTTTTGTAAATATTTGTATCTTACATTTAAATTCATATTATCTACATAATCTAAATCAGAAGTATCATTAGAAGGTAAGCCATGTAGAAATAACATAGGTGTAAGTGGCCGCAAATCGTCGGTACAAGTCGAGACATATGTTAGTGGCCGACTATTAATGACAGCTTCACAATCGCACAAGACTGTGTCCAACTCTACCCAAGTCAATCGCTGACGCCCCAATATTATTCGCAACATCTCCTTTAATACTCTAATGAGCCTCTCCCACCAACCTCCCCACCAAGGAGTTCTAGGTGGAATAAAACGCCACTTTATAGCATGGGCTGCCGTCACACTTTCAACCTCCTGCCAATTAATATCCTTCAGTAAATTGGCAGTCCCTCGAAAATTTGTTCCGTTGTCCGTGAAAATGACGTCTATACGACCTCTTCGAGCAATAAATCTACGAAGACTCATAATAAAACTATTTGTGGACAATGAGTCTACCATCTCTAAATGCACAGCCCTAAATGTCGCGCAAGTAAATAAAACCACCCAACATTTCTCTTGATTACGTAAATACAACGGCCCGGCCAGATCTATACCTGTCATTTGAAACGCTGCCGTGCCTTGAATCCGTTCAAGAGGGAGTGGTGTCTCCGGTGTATCATAATGTATGCCCTTTTGCCTACGACAAATTATGCATTTCTTAACTATATCCTTACATAGCATTCTCACACTTGTAATCCAGAATCTGTTTCTCAGCTCTGACATTAAAATATGTGATACAATGTGCTTTAAGTATATATGTTTCTCTTCAACGAGTCGCCTTACAATGACATTTTTCCCTGGTAATAATATGGGACTCGAAAAATCTTTATCATAATTTCCTAAACCTAATCTAGTCTTTACTCTCATAATACTATTACTATCTAAATGTATGCACAGTTTCTTATTCAATTTAGTTCTATTTACATAATGTTCACCCTGAATAATATTCTCAGCTTCTTCGAATTCATCATTGCTTATATAAGCTATACTAAACATTGGTCGCCTTCTCCATCGGAATATCCACGTACAATTCTTGAATACTTAGAAAAGTATAAAAGCTTCTCGCTAAAATGTTCAGTATCTACATTAGTATTTACAAGTACCACCTTCTTTGCTTCTATCTTTGCACATCTGTTCATGTGGCTCTGAAATCCCTAATATCTCTAAATCCCACAAATCTGAAAGTTTACTCTGAGCGTGACAATTGAAAGTCATTGAGCATTGTGCAGCACTATAAAAGTTAGGGCCCTGTAATGTCCATCCTAGCCTCGTCTTAATAGCTACTAAAGGCCCATCTAATTGTACAATAGTGCCCGTACAAATTACTCCTAAATAATCAGCTCCTATTAACATATTTACATCGCTAAGGTCACAGTCACTGTCGTCAATACTTATATTCAGTGACTTTAACTTTGACCTTAGCTTGGGATCGTCTGCTTTGGGAAGATAGCCACAAATGTCGTCGAGTTCGAGAGCAATGAATTTTGTAGAGAAAGAAGAATCTAGACTATTAACATTCACTTCGACAAGACTGTGGTTTTCTGCTGGCTTAGTAACACCACTAAATAGTGAATAACCTAAATTCTCTATACCTACTACCTTAAGGCCTAACTCTTTTACTACGTTTTTCCTAATATACGACCTTTGCGATCCAGTATCACACAGAGCACGTATTTTCTTCTTTTTACCCTCATGTGAAACCTCTAAAATCAAAGTCTGTAATAAAATATTTCCGCCTTTCCTAGAGAAAAGTGCTGTCGCTTCTTTGGGTTCCTTTTGTTTATCCCTATGAAGGTCCGGACAAAATATCACTACATGACGTTTACCGCAGGCCATACATTTTAAAAACGTCTTGCAGTGCTTAGCTACGTGACCTTTACGTAAACAATTTAAACAACCCCTCTTATCTTTGACAGCGGCTCTCTTTTCATCTAAAGACATTTTGAGCCCTTTATTACATTGAAGAATCGAATGAGACGTATTATCACAAAAATGTGTTCCTCAGCCTCGGCTTCTCGTTTTAAGAACTCTTAAAGTTGCGTTAATTGACCAACATCGTTTACAATTCTAGTTCGTTTCCAAACAATTAAAATATTTTCAGGTAAAGCTGATTCGACTAATGGATACAACATCGCTCCGTACTTTTCCGTTGTTACTTTGAGTGACTCTAAAGCGTGCAAATGGGTCATCAACTGGTCGTAAAGCGATCTTATATCCATATTTTGTCCCTTAGCCTGACATAATACGAGACCTAGCAGCTCTCTCACATACGTCTCGATGAGGATACCTTCTCGAGCAAATCGTCCCTGTAGCTGCTCCAGCGCTCTTGGGTAATTCTTGCCAGACGGAGGGTAGCTCATTACGAGCTCTCTGCTTTTGGACCCCTCCTTCATAGCCTGTATGAGATACTGGAACTTCTCTTCTAGTTCAAGAGTCTCGTCCTCGTGTATCTTTTTGAACTGTACCCAGAAAGATAACCACGTCTTCGGATTGTCATCGAATTTTATGAGCTCGATATTCGGTAGCTTTATGTTTCTCTTCTGATGAGATCCGTCAGTAGCCGCTGAAGATGTATTTGCTCTATTACATTCCTTTCGTAATTTTTCAATCTTAACTTTTACTGCATAATACTTCCTTAAATACGATTCGCATTCGTCACATTCTTCATCAAATTGCTCATCCGTGCAAGAATCGATCGTCATATTTTTTATTTGACTGTCAAAAGATTTTAACTCTTCCAATTTCTCTACAAGATACTGAAATTCGACAGTCATCTGCTCAATATCATTCGACTCCTCTATCTCTCGCACTGACCTGATGAATACTCGACGTGTGTATGCCCTTTTACGCCTCATAGCGTCGAGTTCGGTTTGTCCAGGTTGTCGTGAAGCGACAATTAAAAAAAAAATAGAACCTAACCTAAGTACAACAAAACAACAAAAGTAGAGCCAGAAAACAATATATTTAAATTTATAAAAGGTATTTACAATTTTATAAAAAAATGAAATGAGGATGATGATGAATGAAGTGAGAGTACAATTAGATTATAAAAAAAATAAAGGTGAGAGAATAGGGGAATATAGTGTTGTAGTGGGGCCTAAAAGTCGAAGCGACACACGTTGCGTTTGTAGAGGTAGGTTTCTTAGCAGCGACGGCACGCAGCGCCTGAAGCCAGCACACGCCATTTGCGCTTGTAGAGGTAGGTTTCTTAGCAGCGACGGCGCGCAGCGCCTGGAGCCAGTACACGCAGCGTCCGGAGCCGGCGCACGTAGCGCCTGGAGAAGGGGCGCGCAACGCTTAGAGCCAGCAGTTGCAGCGCCCAAAGGTAGCGCCGGCGGTAGGTGCACTCGGCGCCTGGAGTAAGTAGTCGTAGCGCCCGGAGTAGTGTGGCCCCCGCGCTTGTAGTAGTCTCGAAGCGACTTCCGAGGTAGATGGAGGCTTGTAGGAATCCGGAGTGGTGCGGCTCCGCGTTTGAAGAAGGCTTCGCCGAAGACTTCACGTGTAGGTTGGAGGCTTGCAGGATCCCGGGGCAGTGCGGCCCCGGGATAAGGCCTTTAGGAGATACTTCCAATTCGCGAACTGAAGCGAGACTGCCTTTCTTCACCGATTGTTCGGCTTTTATACCTTTCTAGAGAGAACGGAAAAATTATTTAAATTATACGCAAATTTTTTGTAAATGGTCAAGAGAAAAGAGGATTTATGTGGAATTATCGAAATAGGAATAACAGATCGGTAGCAAATTTGAATATAATTACCATGGAAACGATATAAATAAGAAAGACAAAACATGTCAAATTTTTGTTTTTGGTTTATAATAAGAAAACGGTAAGATTTAAGTGGAAAATGAGATATTATTGATATAGGAAAAAAGGTAGCGCAGCTGCCCACACAAAGCCCAAGATTGTAGAGTTACGGAAAACTAGCTAAAAGATCGAAAAAAGGTAGACTCCATTGACACCAATTTAAAAGTGCTGATAATGTGAAAATACGAAGTAGAAATGATTTGTTATTGTGTTCTTATGGTTTAAAATCGTTACAGGATCCTATGGAAATAAAGGTGATGTAAAATATCCAGTTTTGAGGTGAATGCAGAAAATCGAAACAGAATGGAAAAATGAATTTAAAATGTAAAATGATATATGTAAGTAGCATAACACTACAAGGTCTATCCGCTTTCACGGTCGCCATTATGTGGGGTTTCTGTATGACCGTTGTATGTAGCTCCTCACATTGAAATAAGAAGATTTCTTAGACTTCAAACATTTAATCTTCTAACAAAAATATACTTATTACGAAAAACTAGTCTTACATTTTTCTTGTTATTTTTCGTAACCATGACAACAACTTACAAGATATAAAAAACCTAAAAAGGCCGTAGACAATATTTATTTATCCTCAACAAAATGCCTAGTGTATTAGATTATATATACTTTTAGATTGTCAGAGGTAGTGAGAAGAAAATAAAAGTAAATAAATATGGTGGCCAGTTGTATTGACAAGGCGTCCACGTTCGTCATTGTGTTCGCCCTGGTACCAGAAACGTACTACGACTGCCAGGGGCTGGGGTATTTCTCGGTCGGTCTCTATGTGACAGGATGAATAAAACACTAATTGCATAAATTCCCGTACTCAAATGCTTCCCGGACCGCCCGTATCGCGGACTTTTTTTAAAGATATTAGTAAGAAGTCTAATTCGTTAGTTTATTTTATTGTTCAAACAATAGTTGAATTCCCCGAATTTTTTATACGTCGTAGAGCTTAGTTTTCAGGTGTAGCAACGCGTTTGCATTTTGATATTTAATCAAAGATGGGCCACGGCATCATTTTACCATCAGTGAGACTGTGTTTTGATTTGTCAGTTTGTCACCTACAATCTAAAAAAAAATTTTAAAAAATTGGCTATGTTATCGATTTTGACGAATTTAATCGTTATTTTGTTTCTATTACTTCATAAGACCCTCAAAACGACTCTCAAACTATTGCTTCTGTAGAATTAATGCACTCCCTCTGGATCCCCTACTTTTATTTCTCCCCTATTATTCAATACAAAAGAAAAAATCTTTTTTTCTCTGGTACCGCCACTTTGCTGATGAAGGTCACGAATGATATAAGAAAGGGCTTAGATGAGTAGAAATTAATAGTTTGGCACTGGTTAACTTTTCTAAGGCTTTCAACACAGTTGATCATGAAATCGTTCTTTCTATCCCTACATACCTTTATTTCCATCCCCAGCTTTGGAGAGGTTTTTATTTTGGTATAGATGTGGCGTTTCTGTCAATTGAGCCAAATGTAAATTCATAACCTTTGTAAGTTCACGATAGCTAGCTAAGACTGATTAAGGAAATCCCTCTCCTGTTCTTTCTAATAGGTTTTTGATTCCATATTGTAATCTATACATATCTTCTATACATATAATAAATCTGTAGAAAAGTCGTGTCTGTAATTCTAATATTTTCTGAAAAAAACAATTCCAGGGGACTAAATAAAGGGCAGTGGTTTTTAGAATTTTCGTCTGTCTGTCTGTCGGTTTGTCGATCTGTCTGTCTATCTGTGTATTACCGATTCACGCAACGCACGTAAAATGACTTTTAACCGTTGCGTTATAATTTTAACTACGCCGACTATATAACCAAAGAGAATATAATCACTGCGTTTAAGAGGCGGGACTTATAAAAGTAAATGCATGAAACTTTCATTCATTCTATGTATGTTTATGGTATTGTTCGTAATGCGCATAGGTCCAATTTTCCAATTTTTTTTTTCATTATATTTTTTTGCGTCTCATAGTCCCTAAGCGTATACCCGAACTCCTATACTCCCCGAAACGACACTTAGTCCTAACTGCAAGACGCAAGAGTCTCGCAAGCTTAGTCTTGTTCTTGCGCAAATCTTGCAGGGTCAGTCTTGGTCTTGATCTTGCTAAAAAGAGGCGGTCTTGTTCTTGGTCTTGGTCTTGCAAAAATGCAAGAACAAGACCAAGACTGCAAGACCAAGAC